TTCTCCCTTCTGAAATCTAGTACTTTAGTGGAATTTTCCTTATGTCTGCCCTGAAAATCTAACTGGAATCTAATTTCTTTGTGATCTCTGTTTGCAAGTTCGCTCCCTACCTCGACACTGCTAATGAGGTTTTCTCTGTTTGACAGAACTAAATCGAGTATATTATTACCCCGTGTGGGTTCGGTTATATGTTGACTTAGAAAACAGTCCTGGATCGTCTCGAGAAAATCCTCTGATTCTGAGTTACCTGTAAAGTCAGTCCAATCTATTTGGCCAAGGTTAAAGTCGCTCAGTTTTTATTTCCTTATTTATTTCACACTTCAGTTTATCCCTTTTGTTTAAAAATTTTTTTTGGCAGAGCTTGTAGTACAGTTTGCCTATTCTGAGTAATTCAGTCAGGTCTTGACACTGAGGGTGGTATCACTTCTCACTGTCACGCAGGACAGAGGTTCACACACAAAGAAATACATCATATTCATTAACAACTATAAATGTATATAGGTCAGATTCATATGGGTAATGTCACTGTTCACTGCCATGCAGGACAGAGGTTCGTATACAAAGAGTTGCATCATATTCATTGACAGTACATATACATATATGTAAACACACACACACACATATACATACATATACATATACACGTACATGCACATATACATGCACACACGCACACATACATACATATACGTCGGTCAGATTCATGTGGGTAATGTCACTTTCCACTGCCATACAGGACAGAGGTTCGTACACAAAGAATGCATCATATTCATATATAGGTCAGATTCATGTGGGTAATGCCACTGTTCACTGCCACGCAGGACAGAGGTTCGTACACAAAGAAGGAAATACATCACATTCACCAGCAGTATATACAGGTCAGTGGATCACATACATTGGAGTCATATTCTAATTGAAGACTAATCAGTGTGGGCTAGCAAATTTGGGATAAACAGCAAGAATGTCCTCAAGCACACCTGATTCAATATAGTAATTACATAGTTCAAGATACAATAAGTCAGGTGGCCTGAAGTCTTTGACAGTGTCACATTCAATAATATAGTGTTCAAGTGTATGCTTTAAAGGTTTATCACAAAGTTTACATGCTGAGTGTTCCGGTATGGGTACAGCGTTACTAACTTGCCAGATGTGTCTGTATCCTAGCCTAATTCTGGCCACGACTACATCACATTGTCTGGTTCTGTCCTTATGCTGGCCATACCGGTACCTCTTGTTACAAAATTTGTCATATTTACTAATGCTACAACTGTCAGGTCTCTCTGCATTTCTCACTTCTTCTAGATCAGAGTTCATGATTCTGACTTGAATGTTTTTAATTACAGCATTGGACAGACCAAGGTCACGGTCAACATTTTCTTTCTTACATGCCTCATTGGCCAGTCTATCAGCACGGTCATGATACCTGATTCCACCTCCTCCGCCGACTCGAGTCCCTCGGAGTTCCTGCGCCCAAGCTCCTCAGTGTTTACTCAACATTCAGACTTCCCAAGCTCACGTCTGCCTCCCCTGCCTGATCCTCCTCCCTAAATGCCACACAACGTAAACTCATAGAAAAAGTGCAAAAGAGGGCATACAAGATTATTCTCTCCTCTTCCTACTTCCTACTCTCTGACCATCACCACGACCGCCTCTGCAAATTTGGTAAAAAGCTTCTGCACCATCCTCAACACCGGCTCCTACTACCTTCCGAGATCCCTCGTCCGCGAATTTCTGTTCGACACCATAACCACATCCAGCCCATACGAGCAGATACTGATCGCTATAAGAACAGCCCAGTCCCAACCATTGTAAAAATTATATCAATAACTTGTAATCAACCAGTGTATTCACCCCCAGTCAATCTTTCCTTTTTGTGCTGTCACTGTTGAAATGCCCTGTAGTATGACCTTGCCCCCACCTAGTTATTATATATCATATTTGTATCACATACGTTACTTGTATATTATTTCTTAATAAAGAGACCCATTCCCAATTATGTAACTATATTTTCAGCCTTCCGGCTGCTATGCTCTTTCAATAAACCGTTAATTTGTATTGTTACACACACACACACACACACGCACACACACACACAGTTTATGTTCTTGTCGTTCAGGGGCATGGTATAGATGTGATATCGTTAAACAGTGTGATTATGCAAGAGACATAGTGAAGATATGGCACTTACCCTGCGTGTAGGCTTGATTGGCGGGCGTGGTTGATACGCCCACGCCGCCGTCTTTCTCGCCTGGCCGCCCGCGCCCCTGCCTACCTTAGCACCCCTCTTGTACAATGTCCAGGGCCAGTGTCGCCACGCCCACAACGACCACGGGTCACGGCGAGGCACGGGCAGCCAGCGGGCAGCGTGGAGCCTGTGCCCTGGTAGAGCTAAGCTACTCATGGTAAAGAGTAATCCCAGTAGGCGAGGAACTTGCGTGTAAGTGTCCCGTGGAGTGCTTGAGGGTAGCGGGAGCAGTGTGAACAGTTATGGTCGCGGCGCCGCGTATGTGTGATCTGCTGCTGCTGCTACCACCTGCCTCCCCATCACCTCCACCACCCCCACCAATACCACTACCAGCATCACCACAATCACGAAGGCCGGGCATTCCTACTTCCTGTTTGTATATATGTGTTTGTATGTGAGCAAGTACCTAGTGCTCTTGTCTGCACTGTGCCGTATGGAGAATGCAGTAGCTGCCAACCAAGTAGTATTTAAACCCATGTCACTTGTTAGGTATGTCTATTTGTCTGTGTATTAAGTACTGTACTTTGTGACCTAGTGTGAATTGTTACACAGCTGAATTTGGGCTACGAAGAAAACATTCGAATTTGTTGAAGGTTGTTTACAAGTCAACCTTTGATCTGTTATCACTAAACCTGAATCCTGTTTTCTAGGCAACACCTAACTGATAAAATTAATTAGGTTTAATGAAAATCGTTTTTTTTTTGTTAGGCGTTTAGTTCATAAACACACACACACACACACACACACACACACACACACACACACACACGCTTTTTCAATAAACCGTTTATTATTATTATTATTATTACACACTTCATCTTGTTGAAAGGGGTGTCGAGACCAAACTGTTGTGGATCCCCTCTCACATAAGCCTCAAAGAACATGACAGAGTGGATGCCCTCGCCAAACTCGCGTCTAACAAAGACACTGTTGAATAGGGTTGCCATATCTGAACATTCAAAAAAGAGGACGCTCCCGAACATCTTTAAAAAAACTTACCTTTGCTTAAAGCTGAACATCTTCATTCCCTTAGCTGCTGTCTTCTCCCCCCACTGTGTGTGTGACTTAGTGTGCCCATGCAAACTTTTCTGTAGATCGGATCTTTTTCAGTATTGGCTGATTGCTCTTTAGAAAGGTATAGAAGTCACTGCAAGATGTTTCCCGGAAGTTGTACTGTACAGTCAGAATGCCTTTCATTGTTTAACACTCAATTTGTTCCTTTCCTTTGTCCATTGACTTTGCATCAGTGAAAAAACTTTCTACATTTGCATTGCGAGATGATATAGCAAAGAAGAATTGTGCAATTCTTAGCAATTCTGAGTGACATTCAATGTTTGATTTTTCAAAGTATCTGGTCCACTTTTTGTGCTGGCAGATTACTAAATTCTTCATCACTTGTAATTTTCCACAAACTGCTTCAGGTTACTAACTTGGTCAAAACACTTCATCAACTTCTACCCCCTTATCAATCAAATATTTGACAGCTAAGTTGACAACACCGTACAGGCGTACAAGTGACTTATCAGCTGACGAAAACTGAACGAGATCTCTACGGTTTCCACCTTCCCTCCCTCTCTCTCTCTCCCGTCATTACAGTTTCATGTTTTTTTTTTCCGTGGAGAAAATGATGGAAGCTGAAATTCCGGACTTTTGAAGAATTTTAAAAATTCCTTCCGGATGAAGATTTCGAGACCTAAATGGAGGACATGTCCGGGAAAATACGGACGTATGGCAACCCTACTGTTGAATACAACCTGGGTCTATCAAAAAGAACCCCTAAAACTGTAATTAGGAAGGAACTTAATGATGAATTTGACGCAAGCAGACCAGTGCAAACCTGCATTAATTTATCCATTGTTTACCATGATGAGATGTATGAAGTGAAACCTGTATATGGAGCAAGCAACGAGATTCAAGTTGTTGTAACCGCTAGACTAAGGTTAGGATATAAGTACCTCTGGCAGTATATTCCTTACGCAGATGTGAACAAGACTAAATATAAAGTGTGTGGCCAAACATATGGCCACACACTTGAACACTACGTCCTCGACTGTGTGAAGATAGAGCCTTTTAGAGACAGGTTCAAGCACACTGTGTGTGAAATGGCACAACACTTCATCTCTAATGGCAAGATAGCCGACATATTAAGATTGTATCCATTTTTTTGCACTTAGTAGCTATATCAGTTCCCATGTATAGAATCAAACACACAATGTGCTTGAAAACCTCTCATGCAAATGTGATTAACAAACTGTGCGGCCAGACATGTTGTCTCACACTCCTGTACTCACGCAGTTGCGAATAAGTTACCCTTTATGTATAGAACTAAACAAAGAATTTATTCGAAATAATGTGTTATATTCAGTGCCATGATATCCTGACCACGGGGGTTAGTTATTCTGACCCTTTGTAAACCATACTCTGAAATCCTTTTGCGCTACCACTCACAGGATGAGTATGGGGTGCACAATAAACTAGCCGCTGCAAGTGGCAAAATTAAAATTAATTCAAACTTCGTTTTCAGTCCTCATGGTTTGTGGTTGTACTAGGCCCTGTTCTGGTGATGCGCCCATAGTCATTTACTTTAGGCTTTAGAGTTTAGACTATGGATTCAGCTGCCAGTCTGTAGGCCCCACTTCCTCATCTCTCCCCAGCAAGAATTATCAACACGCTCCCACCAACAATACAGTGCAAAGATTGACGATCATCTGATATACAAAAGTGACAATTTAAAATCGAAAGGAAATGGAAATTAATGTTAGATAGTGACAAGTGGGTGGCCCGTCGTCAGTGGTCACGGCCGACGCAGCCCTCACCGCCCACCGGCCTACTAGATGTAAAAACAAGATTAACAACTTCACCAGGTGAAAAATGAAAATTCCTAACTACATCATATGAGAAACAACAACCCTCTCCAACACCCTGTGAACCGAACAATATTGATGTAACTTGTGACTTGGTCACCAGTCATCTGTTAAGTGTTATGTGATGTCATCTTATGATTAGTAAACATTTTCACTTAAGAACAACAAAGTCAGTTTTTACGAAGATAATATACCAAGCAACTCCTCCACAACCACAGCTGCCACAAGATACTCGCATCAAATTTTCTTCATTATTTAAGCAAATATACGAACTGTTGGAAACTTCTCACGATTCAAAACAATGATGATTAGTTTATTATTATAAAAATGTTACCTTTGGTTTGTTTAATATTTATCCCGACAGTGAGTAATACAACCGAAAATAGATCCACCAATCACAATCAACATTACATACAACCTTACTTTACCAAGTATTGACAGGTTTATTTTGTGAGTACGAGACCCAGGCTGGGGTCAGCTATAACATATACATTAAGAGATCTCGCTTACTCTTCTCTCTCCTCCTCTGTCTCGCCATCCGTCTTACACTGGTAATGACACCCTCATGACCCTCACCACAGTGCCACAAGGTCATGAAGGCTAGTGATATAGTAAATCAGGAGTAACTGACGCCCGTATTATTAAACATCTTTCCTTGAAGAGGGTCGTCGTGTTTCAACCCGAGTTTTTAACTAAATGAGTCCCGCAGTGCAGTACTTAACGGGGTGGTGTGGAGGTAAAATTAACTAATTCCAATATTATAAATTAATTTTATTGGAATTAGTTAAGTACTGTACTGCGGTGTCCCTCAGACTCATTTAGTTAAAAACTCGGGTTGAAACACGACGACCCTCTTCAAGGGAAGATGTTTAATAATACGGGCGTGAGCCTTGTGGTGTGACCTTCTCGTTGTCCTCTGTTTTGGTAGTTAGCCTGGCTGTCTGAGGCCAAGAAAAAATATCTTGAGGAATACAAAATTGGAATCATAATCTTCTATGAATACCTTTCCTGTAAACTGACCTTCCATAAACCTTCGTGAAACAATTATTTTATAGATTTTTTATAAATTATCTGCAATACCAGATAAATAATATAAAGGACACATTATAGACAAATTAAAGTGTTTACTGTATTTACATATAAGGTTCGTAATCATGTTGTTGTGACGTTGTGTCTGCTGTATGTATTGGAGCTATCATATAGGTATTGACTGATATAAAATGTTCATACCAATTTCCAGCTGTACGTGTTTGTTGTATGTTGACGGGTTTTCTGCTGCTGAAGTTGTTCATGACTATAAAATTTATTTCTCTATTACAGGTGTGAGCGAGCGATTAGCTGCTTTAGTGCCAGGAACCTCGTTTTTCCTCTTCGGGAGTGGTGACGGAAGTGGGCGAGGGCTGGTGCAACGCAGGAAGGAGGTGGGTTGGTTTCGGCGACCCGTCCACTACCCTACACTGCTTCACGACGTTGGGGCGACACCCTCCTCCAGATACGGCCTCACAGGTGACCACTGTTACACCTTCAGGAGCTCTAGTGATAGTTTATCATGTTTCTCTTGTTTGTTGTTGCATATTTGTAGTTTGACATTAGTTTTAGTCATAGTTGGTATGTACTGTATAATGTTAACTGTAATTTTATAATTTTAGTTTTCTCTCTACATATAAGAGATAATTTTAAAGTGTATTCTTATTGTATGGAGGTTTAGAAAGTATATATTATTGATCTGCTCTATTATCCATGTGTATGTAGTAGTACTTACTTGATAGTTGCTTATGGGTTGAATACGTCTGGGTCACAATATTTAATTCTTCATAGTTTTGGAACCCGGCCTGAACACCCCAACATGAGAGATAATTATAGTGACAAGCCAAACAGTCCACACCCACAAAGGTTCCTACATTGAGTATTCCTCGTAAGTGAACATATAAAAATAAACCTCACTGGTTGATTTGATCTTAAGTACAAAAATGATGTCCAAAAATAGCCCCACAATTAACACTGAGACTCTGCCTTACCATTCACATAATATCAGTTTGGAGACAAAGTTTAGGTAGAGGATCTTTTCCTTACGTGAATATGCATAGGTAAAGTAGTCTCAGTGTTATTTGATGTTGTAATCATAATGTTTTCTTGTACTTCAGCTTATTTTAACCAATTAAGCGTTTCTACTGTTGCGTATTAGAAGTTGTTAGGCTGATTGATCTCTGTGAGTGTGGAGGTGGTGGGGCTGACATATATCATAATGTATCATTAAGAAGTAAATATTAATAAATAATGCAAACAAAAATTACGATAATTTTCATGCTAATTATCTATATATCTAGCATATTTACTCTCCCCTTTGTGTTTTCATGTACACAACGTGAATTTGATACTTATATATACATAATACTTAATACGAGTATATCGGTAATTGACAAGCCATTTGTACGTACGGTAAGTTATTCTTGATCACAGAGCATTTAATAGAGCAAGGTGTAGCATCTAGCTTCAGGAGGTGATATGTCACCTGTCTCCACCACTGCTTGGTCATAACACACACTGACTGTCAGTGCGATGTTATGCAAATAATTGTGTATCTTATGTAACACTCGACTGTTTATAGTACAAAAAGACAAGCTAAATAAACAGATGTCAGCTAAAAGAACAAGGAACCAGACAACAAATTGATATATAAAATTAATTTATTTAGTTTTATCATTATTAAGCGATAATATTGGCTGACAGAAGCGGACTGTCATAACACCCCTCTTTGTGTGGTCACTCCCCGCCTCCTGTAGCTCGTTCACGGAACCATCATGCGCAACCACTCACCCATATCAACACACATACCTATGAACACACACACTATCGTGTACACAGCCCGATGTGAATGCGGGTACGTGTACATGACACACATACATTCAGTCACGCACATACTGTATATTGCCAGACATCCTTGCAGCTGCTTGTCATAACAGTCTCACAGGAGGCAGCTGCTGTCAAGGACACTCTACAATTAGTCTATATATTCTATTTTTAAATTTTTCTATGATTTTCCGAAACGTTAGTAATTAAAGAAACTCAACTTCGTCAAGATGTTTGTGTTTTCCCTGGTTCTCTTCTCCGTACACCGTATGTCGCATTAAATAAATTTGATAGAGAAAACTGCAGATTAAACCTCAAAAAGTGAGGTTTTTACTGAATAAGGATAACTTTTTATTTTTGTTTCTCGGAATAAATGAAAATTAATTTGTATATGGTAAAATTTGTTCCGTTTTATTTGAGGCGTCGATTACCATCATAAAATATCAAAATTACAGCTTTAGTAGGTTAGGTAAGGTTAGGTAAGGTTAGGCTAGGTAAGGTTAGGTAAGGTAAGATTATGTAAGGTTAGGCTAGGTAAGATTAGGTAAATGTTAGACTAGGTAAGGTTAGGTAAATGTTAGGTTAGGTAAGGTAAATGTTGGGTTAGGTTAGGTTAGGTTTTGCGTGAAACTTTTCTTTTACATACATTTATGGCCAGAGCCGATGCTGGGGAAGTCAAGGCCTCATCACCGCAGTCTCAGGCCGCCTATATAGCCAGAAACCGGAAGAATATCATCGATGTTGTCGTCGCTGTTGAATACTTGGCCATCCACATGAAAATGGCTGGCCAGCCCGTCCACAACCGAAAGCTACTTGAATATCTGGTGACTCGCTTTCCCACGGGAGTTGACCACAATTTGGTTCATGAGCTTCAGGGAGTGTTTCAAACCCGACGCTTCATGAAAAATGGCCAGCCACTCAACAGCATTGTTATCCTTTGGGGAGGAACTGAACCCCCTCCCCCTCCTTATATCAATTTGATTATATCCCTGTCTCCCACCATACCAACTCACCCTCATGGACTCCAAGCCTGTCTCCTGCTTCAAATGCTAGAGGACTGGACGTAGAATATCAACTCATGCTGGATATAAGAACATAAGAACATAAGAATGGAAAAAACTGCAGCGGGCCTATTGGCCCATACTGGGCAGTCCCATTTACACCCAACCCCTATTGCTCATATATCCAACCAACCTATGTTTGAAGCTATCCAGCGTATTCGAATTAATGATGATATTTGGTAACTTGTTCCACTCGTCCACTACTCTATTTCCAAACCAATGTTTACCTATTTCGCGCCTATAAGAGCTATGCGACTGGTGTTCGGGGTCTCACGACTCTCGCGAGTGTGAGCTTCTTTTGGCCATGCGCTCCAAGTCAGCCTCAGACATTCCCGACAACGGCGAGCTACCTGTTACGACGAAATGGAAGTGTCCTTGCTGTGGTAAGGTGGGAGAAAACGTCTGGTATGGCTGTGCCACACGTCGTCTTGCAATTCCAAATAGGTTCCCAGGCCCTCCGTATACTCCTCCACTCACCACTGACAAGATTCATATACTACGTTTTAAGAACAAAATCGCCTCACTCAACACCTAGCTGACGGACCTTAAGAAGGCAATGCAGGAACATTTAGGAATACAACAGGAAAGAGACTTAAAACAACAAGTATGACAAACTCCGGAAACTGGCTGAATCCGCCATTCAACAGAAAGCGGGAGTAGAAGAGAAGCTCAAGAAGGGCAGACATGATCGATAACGGCTGATCAAGATGGAGAAATGGAAACAACACAATTCCAACGAGATGAGAAAGTAGGTTATGATCATGGTAAACAGAAACTTGAGCTAGGAAAACAGAATCATATGCTCCAAAAATTATACTTAATGACTCGTTAACATGAATTCCTTTGCCATCACTTTGCCAACTACGCTACGGCTACTCACTCTCCCATCGGAAAGACCGCCAAAATCCCAACTCAAGCAAATGGACACCAATCCGGCACTCGAATAACCTCCACTAATAACTCGCAATAGATAACCGGCAAAGACCTCTCGCTCATCATAATCTAGAGCAGCTCACGTTTCTATCCTGGAATATACTGTGCACGGGTTCATCGCCCGTCTCAACACCCTCTACTGTTTCGTCGTTCTTCTACAAGAACCATTTATGAGAGGCACCCAGTTCACGCCCCTAAGCTTCTTCCAGGATATGTTATGTACTTCTCAACCATTCAGCACAAATTGATCAGAACGAGCCACAACGAGGTCACCCAATATCAACTCCTGCAACTCAACGTGGCAGGCAGTCACATTCATCTCTACAACGTCTAAGATCACGGACAAACCATGAGACCTGAACAGCTCCCAAACCCCACTGATTAATGAATATTATGCCTGGGCAATTTTAATGCTCGTCTTCCTGATCTTCCCGACCCCTTTGGCGGAAGCAACCTTAATGGGACACGCTTAGTACACTTCGTCAATACCTCCGCCATTATTACCCACACTCCACAAGGTCCAACACATACTATAGTTAGGATGCTTGACAACATTCTAAGTGCTGGTCTTATCAGTGACAGGCTAGAGGTAAGCCATCGCCGTTTCTTACTAGGTCCCCAAAGAGACCATACTCACCATATACGTCGGCACGTTATTTTGTGCATGATCATTATGTAGAAACGTTCCTCAAATATATGACAGCATGGTATAGATCATACGAGCCACAGTCTGTCACACAGTTCAGCGATGACTTGACGGACGCCATCAACCAACCTAACCTAATACTCTAGAGCCGCGGCAGGGCTCGGTGCTCGAGAGCTAATCGGCGACCCCACACTCTCTCTACCTGGAGCGTCCCATCCTTGGGAGCATTCCGCACTTAGATATTAATCCGACTGAAGTAAGGGCATCCTACATCGAACATCTTGCCTGAAGGCAGCGACTACTGTTCCTCGGCAACAGCAACAACAACCCATACTAGATTAGTTAGACATGAACGCCCGCTTCTGAAGCCATGTTGGGAATCAATGATCAACTTGTTCTTCTCCAGGTGATTTCGAATAGAGTTCTAAATTATTGCTAACAATAATTTGCCTACAATTGATGATAAACTGATTGGACGGTAGTTAGAGGATAGTGATCTATCTCCCTTCTTGAAAATCGGTATTACATTCGCTATCCCGCAGGATTCTGGTACTACACCCGTTTTTAAGGACATGTTAAACACATTTGTTTAGGGCATGCTAAGCTCTTCCTTACATTCCTTTAATACTCTGGCAAATGTCTCATTGGGACCTGGTGATTTATTAGGCTTTAGCTTGTCTATTTGCTTACTGACATCGCTACCAGGCACTACTATCTCGCTTAATCTATTTTCTTTACTATCTCGGTATATAGTAGGTGCCTCGGGTATCATGTTTAAATTTTCGGTGGTGAAAAGTGTTGAAAAATATTTATTCAGATTATTGCTCATTTCTCCGTCGTTATCAGTTAGCTCGCTGGTATCTGACTGTATTGGTCCAATCTTTTCTCGTGTTTTAGTTAGATACATTTGAAAGAATCCCTTGGGGTTTGACTTCGCCTCCCTTGCTACCTTCAGTTCATTATTCCTCTTTGCTTTTCTTATCTCGGCCTTAACCCTACCGGCCAATACCTTATAATAATCTCAGAGGAAAACTTCACCACGATTTATACTCCAACCTATAGCCTTCCCTTTTCTAGTAATATTCTTTAAATAATTATTTATCCAATTGGGGTCATTTTTGTCTGATCTGAGTTTTTTGTATTATATATTTTATCATTGCGCATTAAATAACTCACTACTTAAATTGTTTTGGAACTCATCAACCTCAGATCTTTTGATCAGGTCATCCTCAATCGTCATATTTAGTGAAGTTATCGTTGTCAGTTCTCCAGTTAAAGTGAGGTCGCCCTCTGTGGGTACATTGTGTGGGATCACCTCACGTGATGTCATGTAATTTACCCCCAACCATGATACCACTTCTCTCAGCTGCCTTTTCAAACTATCAAAGTTTGCCCTTCTGAAATCTGGGACTTTAATGGAATTTTCCTTGCGACTGCCATTAAATTCTAATTTTAATCGTACTTCTTTGTGATCGCTGTAAGCAAGTTCGTTCCCTATCTTGACATTAATAATGAGGTTTTCTCTGTTTGACAGAACTAAATCGAGTATATTATTACCCCGGGTGGGTTCGGCTATATGTTGACTTAGGATATAGTCCGGAACTGTTTAAAGAAAATCCTCTGATTCTGAGTTACCCTTAAGGTCGATCCAATCTATTTGGCTAAAGTTAAAGTCGCCTACTATACAGACATTGCTATGTCTGGAAGCCCTGTGCATTTCAACCCAAATAAGTCGCTCATTAACTCTATCAAGATTGGGAGGTCTATATATTACTCTTGTTATTCATTTTTCCCTACCATCGATTAATTATACCCAAATTGTTTTTGTATTACGCTCAGTTTTTATTTACGTATTTATTTCACACCTCAGATTATCCCTGACACAGATTGCTACCCCGCCTCCTTTCCTAATCTGCCTATCGGTATGGAATAATTTGTAACCTGCAATTTGGTATTCGACAGGTAACTCACGTTAGTCTAAGCTTATCCAGCATGCTTTGGTGAATGCTATTAAATCTATTTTTTCAGTACATACCAACGCCCTGATTTCATCCATTTTGTTTCTCTCCTACTGTTTGTGTAGTAGACATTTTGTATACACTCCTATACCTAACTATGTTAGAGGAAGTGACAATACCTGTGGAAGAAGCAGTGATGCACATTTATGACTGGAGAGCTTGGCGTCGGGCGCTTCTTGACTATAGATGTGCTGCTGACGAGTGATGTTACGTTGTGTAAAGAAACAAAGCTGTGTTACCTAAAATGATGTCTGCGATCTTGTTGCAGAAGGCGAACTCTATGTTAGAACATATTTGTAACAGCAATCATGAATTTATTATTATTATTATGATTATTATTATTATTATTATAGTATAAGAGTGTAGGTGTTTACAAGGTGTTACAAGTGAGTGCTGCTCCCGGCAGGTGTGGGCGTTATCCCCTACATGATGAACGTGAACATGACCCTAGACACCCAGGACCTGGCTCTGGGACGTCGAGTCGCTGCTGCCCTCCGAGCTTCCTCTCCCGGCGGCCTGCCAGGTAAGTCCTGCTCTCTTGTTGACTTTAATATCTGTTTTTCTGGTGCATCTCAATGAGGATTTTCAACAGGTGCTTCTTGCAGATGTATCTCGGATTCTTATAAGTTGAGACCGAGACCAATTATATTTTTATCCTTTATTTGATCCCTGTGAATAAGACGAGTTTTTAGTATAATTATTTCATTAAAAAATATAGTCTCGGTTCATACCAGTATAATATTTTTAAGGGTTTCAGATCCCTGGATGATAGAAGGTCAGTGTATCTTAAAACATGGTAATATTTTTTCAGTTTCCTGATATACATGAGTGACTAAATGTACACTCTTCAGTTCTTATTTATTTATTGGGGTTATATCTATTACATCAGGTCCGTTGATCATATCCAGGTATTTATTATACTTAAAATACGTAAACATAAAGTACATGAATTTTGCTGAAGTTCGATATCTTTGGGACTTCATTATCATTCTCCCAAGGCTAAATACACACAATATCAGTGCTCAGTGCCAACTTGACCAGTGATGGAAACTTGGCCTTGTTCAGCTGCCAGAAATGAATTAGGGTCTCAACTACTACATGGATCACCTTGCCCGAGAAAATTGACCGCAACCAAGGAACTCTCAAACTCTAGTCAATGTTTACCAGACTCAGGTAGAGGATTAGTGGTCTACAGTAGGTAATGAGGTGACTCCCCGACCCGAACCCAAACTTAACCAGAAGACAACTCCCTCCCAACACGCCTGAAAAATAATCAATAAGGTCTCAAGCAAAAAATCCGAGATGAATGTCAAAGACTTAGACCGAGACGTGAAACAATGTCTCGAGACCTACATCACTGACATGAACAAATGTATCTCAACATGTACAGTGCAGTATACTCAACAATTTTATCTACACGTGTGTCTCAACAGATATTTCTCCACAGGTGTGCAGGCTATGGCGTTTCCCCACGAGGGCCAGATAGAGGTGGCCTGTAACGTGGACCTGCTTCCTGCCCACCTCGCTTCGGCTGGTTGCCACACGGTAGGTTTACCGTTTTAATTCCTACGAGCACTTTCTCTTTCTTTGGTTTACCTCATTTGTAATATCTCTTTCTTAGATACACCCAATGCTCTCTCTCTCTCTTGTAGGTACACTTTCACTCTCAGCATTCTCTCTTTCTCTCCTTAGTACATTCTATGTACACCCACTAAAAATTATTCGGCACCCTTACGGCGTGATACAATATGACACGGGTGCCGAATAATTTTTAGTGGGTGTACGCTTTCAGGTACACTATGTGCACTCTCTTTCAGGTGCACCTTATGTGTAATTTCTCCTAGGTAAACTCTACCTGCACGTTTTTCTTTCAGTGAGTTGAATCAAACCTTCCAAGACACACACCCTACTCTCCAGGACATATCACCATCACACCCTCGAAGACACATCACCACACCCTCCAGGACACATCACCATCACACCCTCCAGGACACATCTCCACCACACCCTCCAGGACACATCACTACCACACCCTCCAGGACACACCATCACACCCTCTAGGACACATCACCACACCCTCCAAGACACTCATGATCATAAGAGCTCATTGATTTGGACGCCACTGTGGTGTAATGGTCAACTGGGTCATGCAACTCGTTAACTTCTGGTATGGTTGTTGTGTTGGCGACAGCTTCTACACCTTAAACAAATTCAACGCCGAGGTGGTCCTTGGGCCGGCCATCCTCGTTACACGAGGGGCAACTATTATTATGTTACATCATTATACCACTAAGATTTAACATCCGCTCTTTCTCACAGATTGCTAGCCAGTTCTCATAATAAACGCTGACGACAGCTGCATGTCTAATTTGTTACCGCTTCCTCTGACAGATGAGGTTGTCCTTGGGCGGTCAGTATATGTACACGCCCGCAGATGTGATCGAAGGACGGGTCCTGAAGGAGGCTGGTGGCGTAGGTGTGGTGGGGAGGACCCTGATTGGTTTCACACCCGAGGAAGCGCGCTCCCTGGCTATCCACGCCCTTACCCACGGCCAGGCGGAGGCGTGGAGGAACGCCAGAGAGAGGAGGATGTAGTATGAATTCTAGGACCGGCTGAGCCTTCTGTGTGTTGACTTCTATTATGTTGAGGCTCATATATGCTGAACGTTTGTGGGTTAAGATTCATTTGTGCTGACTTCCTGTGTACTGGGACTCACCTGTGTTGACTTTCTTGTGTGTTGGATCTTTCTGGGATAAACATTTTATTTTTTAAGGCTACTATTCATTACAGTTAATATTACAATTAAAAAAAATAAGGGAAATTAATTCTTCAAGTTAAACAACGCTAAGATCTGGCTGGCAGTAAGTGGATGGAGCGAGAGAGGGGGCAAGATAGTCTTCCTAATATTCACTTGCTGAGGTCGACGCTTGTCAAAGAGAAATCAGGTCCATGTCCTCAAGTTGCTGGCTGTCTCTGTATTTTAAAATATGAGTGTAAAATATGGGCACTGAATACTGATGAATAAGCGTTAATTATCACTGAGCACCGCTAAAATTTGTTGAACTATAGACTAGCGTTAGGTGATGGTAAATAACATTGTTATATAGCAGATCAAGTACTGTAATACCTCCCGCGACACATTGCGTATAGACCACCATTATTCTAACTCATTGGTTTCCAATCCTTTTCATGTCATTTATCCATCAGGTAAATGTCGAAAATTTAAAACTTACCTAACCTATAAAGTGTCTAGTAAATCTTGGGTTAAAACGGATTCCTCATAAGTTTTAGGGAAGATGAAAACCTTAAAAATTAGGGGAAAATATAACTTAGTCAACTTTTGTATGCTATACATTCAACTGCTGTCAACATGAAACCTTATCAAAAACACCCCCCAAAAAAATCGCACACAATTAGTTTAAATAAGTTGAAACTTTCAAATTAAAAAGAAGAACAAGGCTTCATATGCAAAACACCCCAAAAGGGGCAATTACCCACAGCTTGGGAATTGGCGGGCCTCCTGTAAGCAATGTTTAAACACTCGACATGTAGACGCCGGCTGCGTATTGGAACCTGACATCATGTACTGCAAGGAAAGGTAGGAAGATAACATGTAGCCTCACTCTCATAGGATCTGCACTAATGAAAATAAAAATGGAATTTTTATTTACGTATTTTTGAAGGCTTATGGTGGTATTAAAAGTTGTACAATAAATGTATGGAATGGAGATTTTTTGTTTTATTTTAATTGGAGTCTGATTAAATATATAAAATAAATATAAATATCTTACTTGCGGCCGCTGGATTTCATCCAACGTCGCTGATTAGCTAGCGATGACATCGCTTATTAAGTTCCGCCCACTGAGTTACATCAAACAGTAGAAGCGGGATATTTACAAGTGAAAGTGGAGTTTTTTTCTTTTATAACAATGATTTATTGCGCTGTAGCCACCTGCAAATTCAACTCAGAAAAGAAGAAAAAGTTTGTATCTTTTTTATTCATTCCTTCGGGACATAAAGTTACGGGCAAAGTGGCTAGATGCCTGTAAAAGAAAAGATATATGAAAAACACCAAACAAGTGAAGTTGCGGCATACGATATGTTCAGTGCATTTTAAATCTGAATGTTTTAATTGCCATTTAGCAGTAGACAATGTAAAGCTTTCTTTAAACCCGCACTCACGTCCAACAATAAATCTACCGGGATTAGGAGGTGAAATCAAGAATGCTACAACGTACGAAGATCATATATTGTAAGTACACTCGCAACAGAAAGTATCGATGCATACTGTAGTGTGAACAATTTGAGACCAGTGACGATAGGTATTGGGAAAGGCGAGTTGTTCCAGCCGTATGTTGGCAGCCCTGTAATCCTGCTGAGCAGCTACTATGGCCTGGTCAAGTGAAACAAACCATTATAAATACGGTCGGGAAGTATGAAATATGAGGAGCTCCCTGTTAACAAAATTATTTGTGATACTTGTGAATATTGCCACATTAATTTATGCTACCAAATAAACCACTCAACCTGGTCGTCCTGAGGGGTGGTGCAGCGTGGACTGCCGCTCCGAGACCTGTCGTCTGTAGCACCAGTTTCGAGGTGTCGCCGAATCCATCGTGCAGCTGTGTTCCTGTGGACACCAACCCTCTGGCTAATATCTGTGACGCCGAACCCTTCATTATGAAGGGCAATACTAGCTCCTCGTGTTCCCTTTGAGGTTTCCATGTCGTCTGGCATGTGTAGATCTCTACTGCTTCATATTGCCTCTGTTTTATACCCACGTTCACCGAGACCGAACCCTCGCTCATCATTCAGTCGACACAAAGCAACAATCCGAAAAGAGGAAACAAACACACTGATTGTCAGCCATATGGCAACACCTAGTGGAGGGGGGGGGGTTATGAGGATACACTTACCAACCTTCCCGACATATCACAGTATACTTAACGTTTCGGAAGTCGTCGATTACACCCTGCACAGATACTTTTTGGTGCGAGTGTACATTAAATGTGCATACGTTTTGTTTCCTGTTTTATATATAATGTATTATGCATTTTCAATTGTCAAAATATAACTTAATATGAATCTAGTAGACTGTTACTGTGGGCTATTTTTTTTTGTAAATGATAGTCATGTATCTCATCAGACAGTACCCTATAATGTTCTCTATACGTAGGAAGCCTATACTTAAGCAATTATTATGAGAAAAGTTGAACCTCTTAATTTTCAAATTCTGTATATATTCGTACCCCTAAGAAACTTCCTGTAGCTTACTATATAGTCTAGTGTAGACCAACGCTTTTTTTAATGTATAATTATTTAAATAGACTTCTATATTATATTCTAGTATAGACCATTGCATTTGCTTTCATATGTGACTTGGGTGTCAAAGAAATCGCAAGTGTTGTATTATACCTTTGGCAAATATATACCGTATTTACATTTTGTGAAAATGATATTATTAACTGTAGCCTATAATTAAACTATTTGGCAGTATTACATTGAATAATGAAATACTAGTTTAGCCTATCAGATAAAATTGGATTAAGGGGCTTGGCTTAGCGATCTCGAGAGTAGAGTTGCCAATTAGTGAATTCCTATGAGCCTGCGTGAGGCTACCTGTTACCTACCTATCTACCTACCTTGTTGTACTGTACAGTACATACAATCCTCTGTATGTAGATAGTGATAGTGCTGCAAAAATATGCAGGTTTAAAGCAGTGAAAATAGTGTATTTTGGTGCACATTTAGATATTTCTTATAATCAAGTGACTATACTTGAATGTAGGACTTTAAATACCAAGAAAATCAAATCAAATCGGATGAGCAAGAGTGTATGCAGTGTTTGGGTGTACTCCAGGGAGAGACGCTATTAAAATATACAAGTCTTTTCCAAACCAGAAAAAAATATAAGGATATTTGGGTGCAACGATGCAGTAGAGTAGTGGTAGATGAACAGCATTTTAGTAATGAATAGGAAGTTCGAAATCTAAAATATGTATTATTAGGTTGTGATCCCGCGAAAAATTACTGGGATATGAAACCAGATGCCATACCTGATATCAATCTACGAGTTACCAGCTGCTCAATGATTTCAGATGCTGACACGCACATTGGTGAAAGGAGTCTTCTTAAGAATAAAGGTTATATTAAAAAAAAAATCAAAATAAGGCTGCAATTCTTGGCTTTACAAGTGTACCTGATGTGGTTTTTAGTTTTTGGGTAGTAGTGGAGCAGACGGTTAGTAGCTCTACATGTTTATACAATTCTTTCATATTTTTCACAGTTGTTATTTGGGCAGAGCATGAAAGATGAGTGTAATTGCTGGGTAAAAATACAAAAAAAACTGATAATATGGCATTAATTTCATGTCTCTACGTCCTCTATACGCGAAGAAATTAATTACTTATAGTAATTATTCCGCCGATAATTCTCCCGTGGTTCTGTGTATTACCTGACGTCGTTAAACTAATAAATTCTAAATCCGGTCTTCCTTAATTAGTAAATAAGCGTTGGTGCCTCATATTGGAGGTTTTATTACCCAAAATATTCGTGAGTCTACCAGCTGTGCAAATCCTCTTTTTTCTTTCGGTGGAATAGTTTCTTAAACCTATTCTGTGTATAAATGATGATAATCATACAGTTGGATTCGAGTCTCAAATTATAGGTTTGGGTACATTTCCAATTTTTGAGGAGTATGTTTGGATTCTAAGCGAACTTTGTGTTCGTATACTTATTGTTCTTTCTCAGGGAGGACTGAGGGAGAAGAGAGCTACAGTATGTTGTTTTTTAATGGCGGTGATTTCGCGTCGTGTTCGGTATCACATCGCAAGTTATCTGTGCATATGGAGGATGTAGACCGTCTCCAAGAGTTCATCTATCAACATGGATTAGTTGGCAGGACGTGCAGGTATTTAAAATGCGATAGAGAACTGACAGCGAAGAATAAATATGCGTTTCAGTACTCTCACGTCCACAAAAAACGTAAAATTACACAATGCCACTTTAAGTAAATTCTTTCTGCTTAATATGTCGGGCCCTGGTTATGAAGTTAGGTAAGGTTAGGTAGACTTTGTTGGTTGGGTTGGTTAGGTCAAGTTTTATTAGGTTCTATGCATTGTCGTTTCCATTTACGTGTTTCGTATCATGCAAATAGTATCTCCATAAATCTTGGTCATATTCCATGAGGTATATCTTACTGCTAACATTGTTCTCCACCTTTACCATTTTATGTTTGAGTATAAAGAGTCGGTTTGCGTTGGCAGGAACATGAATATCATGTTCTTTATCATAAACTATTCTTATATGATCTAACCAAACCTATCCTAACCTAACTTGCCATTACTTGTACTTCCTAACCTAGCATCACCAAACCAAACCATTCGAACCTAACCTTCCTTAGATGGCAGTTTAGATGGTTCCATGTCAATTCAACCCCTGGTCAATCCAAACCCTGTCTCAACTCAACCACTTGTCAACCCAACCCTTGATCAACTCGATCCCCCTTTTTTTTTTTTTTTTTTTTTTTTAACATTTGTAGGATTACCAACGCGGACCTTAAGATAAAATGCTGGGTGCTGATAAACCACCAGCATCATTTTAGTTACAGTACATCTCCACCACTAGCATGGGGGTGGATGCTCAGTAAACTAGGGTTTCTTGAGATTTTTTTTTTTTGTTGTTACTGGGATTAGCCCACTCGGGCACAGGTCACTGACCCACATTGGGGCCTGGGGGGCGAAAATGTAATAATAATAATATTAATAATAATAATATCACTGGTCAACAGCCAAAATGGTTCACATATGAGATCATGCTCACACAACTAATTTCATATTGCTGAATTCGAATCTGATATTTGTTTTGTTCTATCAGACCAGGTTTTATAAAAAAATCAATAGGTACAAATATTTAATATTCCATCACGTGTCGTGCAAAAGATGAGATTATCTCATGTGACTGTGCTTTCATGACTAATTTCATATTAATGAATATTAATTGGATGTTTCATTCTACCATCAGACCTACTTTCTTAAAGAATAAAAAAAATAGTAAATATAGTAACATTATCGCATCATGCAAGATACAATTTTAAACCTATCACAGATAAGCTCATAAAAAATTGTACCAAAAAACATAAGTTCAAATCCTTTATAATGACAAAATATGAAGTTCTAAAAGTGCTTCTGAACTTTACTCTTTCTCTTGTACAGCTTGCTCTCTTCTCGTTGCAGTGTCCAGCAATAGTCGCCCATCATGTTAGGACTGAATTGTCCCTGATATCTGCTCTCCATTATGGCGATATCTTGATGAAATCTTTTGCCGTGTTCATCACTAACGTCTCCAAGGTTACCTGGGAAAAATTCAATATGAGAGTGGAAAAAATGCAATTTCAAGGACATCCTCGCTCCCAATGCATGATAATTCTGAAGCATGGTTGTTACGATTTCCTTGTAGTTGTCAGCACGATAGTTTCCAAGAAAATTCTTTGACACATTGACAAATGATTCCCATGCTTTTTTCTCCAGTGGGTTCAATGTTTTGGTGAATTCGCTATCATTAACTAGTATACGAATTTGTGGTCCATTCAAGACACCTGCTTTCAACTTGGCTTCGGAAACCACACCACCTAGTTTCTGAGATAAATATAGAGTCCCAGCACCGAATTGATCCATAGCTTTGATGAAATTTTTAGCCAAACCGAGCTTTAGATGCAGTGGAGGCAAAA